CATACTCAATTATTACAGAGAACCCAATTTATATATGCGTGTATATAATGTAATATGCTATAGAGCGCCGCGTACATGGTTGTTTTATAAGTCTTTTGTTGTTATTATTATTATATGATATTTAATTATATAATCACTGGAAAAAAAAAGGGTTTCAATCAAAAAGAGTGGTCTCTAATCTATTCTTAATTAATTTGTTCTTTGGTTTGTGTACGTGTAAAGTAAAAGAAAGCATATTATGACACGACCAGGGAACTCTTTATCTTCAAGCATCGGCAACGGCTATATAAATAAATTTGGTATAATATATATATATATATATATATGTGTGTTTGTAATTATAATGAGGTATAGGCCATGTCCGTGTGTGACTTGCCCCGAACATTATTACGCAAGAGGCAAGCATGCAAGAGGTGATATCGTTCAGATTTCCTTCCCCTCACTCCCTCCTCTTATTAAAATCATGTCTGTTCTTCACGCCTCCCTTTACCCACTTCTCTCCTTATTTATTATAATTACCTTGCCAATTTGATGTTGTCTTATTATACATATATATATATATATATATTTAGTGATCTGTGTTAAAAAAAGTTACCTTTGTTTTTTTGGCAATTCAAATTTTTAAGCTAAACATTTAAGATAATCCAGAGAAAGAAAACTATACTTGAGCAGAGTGAAAGTATGTAGTTATCCATGCAAACTAATCTTGAGCAGGGTTTCAAACTCCATTAACCTCCTTATTACCATATGTTTCTATACACATATAATATACATGTCTGACAAGCTATATATATAATGTACAGTGATATATAGATATAGAAGGGAGAGAGAGAGAGAGAGAGATAAGTGATAATTTTAAAATTATCACTCACATCAAAACTCAACGCAGAGAGAAATAAGAAAGACATACTTCAGAATATTCTTTTGGAGGTGCTACTTAACCTAATATCATCATACAGCGACCACTCTATTAAAATCCATATATTATATATATATATATATGAATTTGTCTGCGTTTGTGTACGTATTTCCATTAATTGGACCCACATATTTCGTGATATATAACCAATATAGTTTTGAAGTAGCTAGAAATTAATAAACAATTATAAATATTAGTCTGGTTAGTAGTGATATATATATATATATATATATATATATATCTTCTTAGCTTGATTATTTAATTTGTTATTGTAATATAGCATTTTAAAGTATATAAACCCTTGAATAAATTAAATTAATGTAGGAAAAATACTTTTAAGATTGTATGAAAATAAACTGAATTTTGATGCGTTAAGTTAACTTGAATATAAACCTTACCTTAGTTTAAATATATTATATTATCGTTTAATTTTTATATATTTGATTAATAAATCAATTAATTTTTTCT